CTACAACAATATTAGAAAAAATGAAATCTCACCAAAAGTTCCCAGAAAAATAAGAACTATTAGAGATGTCTCCATATCTCCTGCAGGCTGCGCACGAGATTGAGTTTGAGATACAAGTGTTATAAATGCGCACTATGGGGAGGAGGGGACGATAATGCCTTCACTTATAATAAATACACTGCACAAACTAGATATAAAGAGGCCATATTCATGAGCACAGGGAATACTGTCTCAATCAAACACAATTTCCAAAAAGAGGAGTGTGCATATATAATTGTTATAAAACAGTATTAAGCTCTGCATTATTTGATATCTAAAATTTATAATATCCATTTTAATATTTACAGTAGATATTCCACTATGTTAAAGGTTTTTCCAGTTTGGAGCACAGTGGCCAAATATCTTATGTGATAATGAGTTGTGCCATTGATATTGTTTATATTATTAGTTGTAGACTTATTTTGCCCCATAAATATTGGTCACATTGGTGTAATGTACATTATATTACACTAGCTTGAATGTACATTATATTGACAATACGTTTGAAATGAAAATATAGTTTATTATACTTATTATACTCATATACTTTTATATGAATTTATATAAATAGGTGGATACTAAATGGTGTATGTGCATGATTAATTCTGCTTGCTTCTGATCTCTGATGCAGATTTCAGAAGTTTTTTTTTAAGGCATTGCCCTCACCAATAAACTTAATAAAACATATTTATGATGTAACTGGCCTTGAAGGATTAGACTCACATTTTGATAAGATATCAGAGTTGAATGGATGGCTATCTAAACTTCATGTTGATTAGGCCTCCCTGGCTTTATGTGAGTCTGATGTGGTTGAACTGGAGCTTAATGTTGAGACAGTGCATGAGCACACCCTTGTGGAAAAAGAACGCTTATGCAATCTGATAGTAGCAGAAATTTATTGTGGAAACTTGTTAAGATAGATTATTTAACCTTTTATGGTGTTACACAACAACTGTAGTATTTAGCTGATATAACATACTTTGTATGTTTACATATTAAACCAATACATAGTTGAATATTGTCCCCAGGCTTAATTTTCTACTTTAATAAACAATACTTTAATAACAAGTCTCATTGAAGTCAGGGCAATGGAAAGCATCATGGACACAGAGCCAGTGAGGGGAGCTGAAGAGTTTAGATTAGATAAGAAATACATTATTCTCTCTTGTCCAAACTCAGATGAACAGTAAGGAGGAAGAGAGCTATGTACCCCCGAGAACATGCACTGCAGAGGGTGAGTGTCCAGTGACAGGGTTGGTAGCTCTGCAGGTGTACATGCCCAGGTGATGACTCCATCTCCTCAATGTAGAAAACATCTCCTTTCAATGACACATGTTTGAATGTCCAAACGAATGAGGCTGGGGGCAGTGAGTCTGCAGAGCAGGTCAAGGTGACCATGTCCTCCAGCTCTGCACCTATGGGTTTCTGCCTGATCTGTGGAGAGTCTGGTCCATCTGGAACACAATAAATTTCATGAAATAATCATAATATTAAAAAACAACAACAACAACAAAAAAACAAAAAACAAAAACACTGTGAACACAGTATACTTATAGTTCTTCTTACCAAACTGGAACCAAATTTATATTTTCTTTTTCATATGATTCATATGAAAAATAATTAATTGCATCTTCAATGAATTATGCAACTTTAAGTACATTTTTGACATATAGCAGAACTATTTAAATGCTTTACTTACAATAAACAGTAAGTTTGCATGAAGCCACAGCAGAACTGACTTCATTGCTGGCATTACACTGAAACTGCCCTGTGTCCCCTCTGTCCACGGAGCGGATGGACAACATTCTGTTCCCTTCAGAAAAGCTGAACTTGTCTCCAGGAAGAATGGGCAGTCCGTCCTTCAGCCACTCTCGTCCCTCCACGCTGCCCTCGGCCTCACAGGTCAGGTTCAAAGAGGACAGTCCCTCCTCCACAGTCACTGTGGGGCAGTCGATGGAGGCGCTGGACACTTTACCTGCACACAAAACACCAGGCTTTTATTGAACTATTGTGCTGTATTGTAGTAGGTAAGAAGCTGTGTATTGTAGTTAGTGGTAACTGCAAGTTTTTTGTTAAAGATGCATTATATAACTTGTCAACTGAATGGTCCGTCACTTGCTTGTCTCCATGGAGATGTGCTTAGAATGTTCCACATTATGACCATAAACTTATGACTCCATGGAGACTTGCAACCCAAATTACAGGTTAGACTTACAGTATGAATGAATTATGAATATTTCTTATATATTTTAATACCATACTGTGAACAATTTAAACCAAAGCATTAACATCTCCATGGAGACAAACAGGTTGCGTGCATCCTCCTGAAAAGTTACACAGTGCACATTTAAACCCTCTCCAGGCAGGCGTTGCAGATTTGCAACAGCTAAATGCCAATTACCTGCTTACTCCAGATCCATATTTTATAAGCTTTTTTTTTCTCAGGAGCCTTTTTTCACATCCATGCTGATAAACGTGGACGATGCAGACTGTGCAAGAATGGCTATATGAAAACGGCCTGCCAGAAGTGCAAAGTACTTTTGTGGTTTACAAAGAATAAAAATTGTTTCTTAGAGTACCACACGAAAAAGTGATGTTGTTCTGCCACTGTAAAGCACTATTACACTCTGCTTTATGTTTTCATTGTCATGAAAAGTGGTACACACATAAAATTAGCCTTCATATCATTTTCAGTCTTTAGTGTTAATTTACCACACCGGACCAATGTTGCAAATCTGCAACATCCCAGAATGCATTGGATGTGAAGGTCTCTCAAAAAAAAATTGAGCCTGAGAGGGTTAATGCAACACAATTAAAGCATTTTTTTTTTTTTTTTTTTAAATCAACAGTTCTTTGAGTAGTCTGTGCTACACAATCATGCTAATATCTTGTTTGGCATGACTTCTATGTTCAAATAACAAATCATTACTTTAAACAAAAAGGGTCAGATATTTATAACTAGCAAAATTCTACAACAAAAGTAAATGTTGTGAATGACTTTTTAACTAAAATATAAAAAATACAAAAATAAAAAGGTGCAATACATTCACTATTAGACTATAAATGCATCCTTAATTTATTACTTTATTCTCTCAATGTCTCAGTTAATTTACACAGCTTGCTACTTGAGGTTCTTACCCCAATCATCCCACTACTACTACAGTCACAAACACTATTGTGGTAGTTGCAATGCATAAACATAAATAAAGAAATAAAACATTACACACTACTATAAAAGTAGCTATTTTAATACCTACTGAGCACCTTGAGCTGGGCTGTTCCATGGTAATGCAACCCCATTTGAGTGATGATGATTAATTCATATTTGCCGCTGTCTTTCTCCGCCAGATTTTTCAGCATCAGACAGCCAGTGGTTTTGTTCAGACTTATCCTGTTCTCGTACCCACTCCCCACCACATCTACATGCGTTGAGGTGATTATGCTGGCGGTGCTGTTGAAAGTCCAGGTCACAGCCAAAAATGGCATCTCGGTAGGTAGCACTGTTGTAGTGAAGGTTACTGTCTCTATTACTGGCACTCAGAGCAAGTCAAAAGTGATGACACCAGCTCCATGGCAAATACCTGTTGAAGTAAAATTGATACAATATACAACTATCCTAAAATCTTGGCATAAATATTTTTTTTTACCTGACAAGAAGAGCACAAATAAAGCTGAGCCAAGTACGCTTCTCATGGTGGATGGGGAGTCTTTGTCCACCAATTGAAACTACAGTGACCGAGGTTATCAGGTATAAAACAAGCATGACACTCCCGAGATTTAATAGGTTTAATTATTAACAGTTATAACCCCTGCTGTCTGACCTTCTGATGCTAAATATTGAAATCAATGCTTTTGGTTTAACTTAGCAAACCTTCAGCTCATCTCATAAATACAACTAAAAGTAAAATGCATTTGAAAAATGTGGTGGCAGTAGATCAGTTTGTAGGATGTTTGTCGAATTCCGTTCTCAACATCACTGGTTGAGAGGTTAGAGCCACTGTTGTTGTGTTCTAGTGTCTACGTACTCTGGTGTATGACAGGTTCTTTGATGTAAAGCGCTTGAAGGTAGAAAAATGCTTTATAAAAATGTGACTATTTACAATTTAGCAAGATTCCAGGCTAGGGAAATTATGTTACTGGTAAGTATATGATAAACTAAACACGTGTATAATAATGGTACTAATCTTTTATTTAATCTTTAACCTTTTAAAGGTGCATAATGTAACCTTTATGGTGGAGGGCACACTTGCACCAGGACAAGTTACAGGTCAGATCTGTGGGATTGCAGTATTGCTCACAGTAAAACTGTCTATTTTTCAAAGTATTTTTTGAACACCGGTAATTTAATAAAAAAAAAAAAAAAGAAGTGTAATTCCACACTGCAGAACACTTTAGGAAATCAATAACATTTCCATGGAGAAAAGCAGGTGGTAGACCCCCATCCTGTGACATATAGCATTGTTAACATTCAATTATATATATTTAAAATTGTGTTGATTAATACTAATTAAAATCTCTAACTTCTGAATCAGGATTTTTTTTTTAAGCCAAGGCCACAAGATGGCAGCAAAGTATTTAAAAGTAGTTATTTAGCCTGATGCACAGCAAAATCAAATCTCCAAAGCTTTTATAAAAGGTTACATATGCATTGACATATTAAAAAAATATTACTGTCAAATAATAAAAAGTGTAATCATGTTGAACAGTAATGCCAACAAAAAAACAGGACATGAACAAGTAAAAGTAAACAAGAGTAATATAAATAGTTCTTAAATATGCCTGAGGTTCTAATATTGGACAGTAATATTACTAGTATGTGTCCTACAGTTACTGATATTTGTATAATACAGTAAAATATAACTGTAAGAATTAAACAATTGGAAGCTTTTTTCTATATTTCAGATTGAATTAACACTGTATATACTGTATATTTTCTGATGGTCGATTTTCTGATGTTTTTCTTATTTCCTGAAAAAAGTAACACAAGAAGATCATCAGAGGATTCAACACTCATTTTGAGGTAAGCCTATTTCACACGTGTTCTTACCTCTGATACACATGACAGCCCAAACCAACAGAAACTCCTACGATCAACATACATGCCAATACGATTCCAGCAATGGCACCATCAGAAAGGCCAGGATCTGCTCATAAACAATAAGCACATGATAACTTATTGTGTTTCGTTACGTGGAAATCGCTTCACACCAGTTGATTTTTACCTCTTATAGACAGGGTGTGTTCCACAGACAGTGATCTCCCTGTGACTGCGTTTGATGCCTCACACATATATTTACCGCTGTCAGACTTAACAATGGTGCTTTTAACAAGAAACTCTGAGTTATTGACTTGCTGTTCACCATTGAACACCCAGGAGTAAGTGGCTGCTGGTACAGACTCTGCAGAGCACAAGATGGCAAGGGACTGCCCTGCTTCAAGTCTGTTTGGACACATAATCGTAACATCATAGGGCCCATCTGAAAATACAGTTGGATTAAGTGGATTTTAGAATTTTTGTGTATGCTTTGTAAATTACAATTATGATGTTTTTACATTAACACTCAAGAAGCAAACAAGGGTTAAACAAAATGCTAACATGAGCAGTGAATCATCAAACCAGAGCCTTATAATACATTTGTTACCTTGTCCCCAGAGGATTGAACAGGTTTTGTATTCACCTTGTGTGTCTGTGTATGTGTCTGTGTGTCTGTCCACCCGTGATAATTTCCGCCGTTTATGGACCGATTGTGACCAAATTTGGTAAGTGGGTCAAGCCCCTGCGCCCAATGCCGCAAAAAAAAAAAAAGGTTTGGTGACGATCCGAGGTCATTTGAGGTCACACAGGGCAATTGAAAGGTCACGCCATTATAAGGGATAGGCGATATCGACAATTTCTGAACCATCTGTGGGCTAAAATATTCACCCAATCATCACACAAGTTGGCACACACATAATCAAGGTATGGGCTGGGGTGCTCATAAGCTGGCTTCCACGGTTATGAACTGCCCCCACCGATGCCTCATGGGGGACCCGGTTGTTATCTCTGATTGCGCTTGTTTATTTAATGTTAACTAATAAACAAATTAAGGTTAGGTGTAGATGACATTACATTGTTTTTTGTTTTTAAATGCTGTAATTAACTTTTTCTGACTTTTTTGTCATGAGATATCCGCAGCAACATATCCAGCTACATTTCAATATTTTTAGCATATGTATTACTGTTTTGACATTTTTGTGTGTGTTAAATTTATACCAACAGTATAGTCAGTATGTTATGTCTCATACTGCACTTTGAGCATTTTGCACATGTTTTTTCAATGTGTTTTTTAACTACAAATGGCAAATAAACAAACAAACTAAACTAAACTAGTTCTAAACTACTTTTCTCATAGCAAGAAGACCTGATGAACCTGAAGTCTGATGTCCTGGTTCTGTTCTGATGTTTTTCTGATACTTTTCACCACTGGAAACAGTAAGTCAATAGATCTTTACATTCCTTTACTGAATGCACCTAAGGGTGGTTAGTGTGTTGGTTCCGTTTTGATCATTATCCATTAACCAGGCTCCAGCTCCTGTGATCTTAAGTGGAAGAAAAGATGAATGAGTCCCATGATCAATATTTTACAACTTTTAACTCACAGATTATAGGCACGTAGACTTCTTTGCTTGTGCTGTTACTGACAGCATTTGTCACTTGGCATCTGTATGGTCCCTGGTCATAGCGCCACACAGTGTCTATAGTGAGAGTTGCGCCTCCATCAGTGAGGTGCACTCGGTCACTGGCTGTAACTTCAGTGCTGCCATTTAACCAGAGGAAAGACAGAGAGGAGCCAGAGGCAGAACAGGAGAGACTCACAGAACTGTTGAACTCCACTAAGAATGTATTGTTGACGCTTACTGTGACATTGGACACTGGATCTGTGGGAGGAGACCAAAATTGTCACTTTCATTGTTAATTCATTGTGACTTTATTTATTGGTTTAAATTAGGGCTATGCAATTTATCAAATGTTAACTGAGATCAAGATTCAGTTATTTTAATTGTCAATGATCAGCTTGAGTACTTTTAGTCCACAACCAATAACCATAACCTATATTTAAGCAATACTACCAGACATATTTTTTGTTTTAATAAGCCAAAAAATTTTGAATCAATAAATTGCAGTTGATCAATATGCAGGAATAAAAAAACTTGATTGCATTTTTTGTCGTATTGTCCAACCCCATTTTACAGCTCTACATGACTGAAGAGTTTGTCATTCCATAAGGTTAAGGTTATGGTTAAAGTGTCCTTCTTAGAATATTTGTCCTCTGTATTTCACTCATCCTTCAATGCTGCTGGTACAACCTGTCAAGAGCAGTGAGCAGCAGCAGAGCTCTGCCTTATGGATGGGTTTAATCAGGACTATCTAGCTGGAGGTTTACCATTTATGCCAGTTTAGGTTAGCCAAAATAGTTATGTTAAATCATTTTTAAATTTCTGCTAAATCAAGCACATCTTCTTATACATGTTAACCATAACATTCAATTTAGGGGTGGGCAATATTGACAGAACCTGCTAGTAATATCATGATTTTATTTATTTTATTTTTTTCACATTTTTAGATCCCTATGTTGATATTCAGACAATATTACACCAGTCAAAGCATGTCTTTAAATGCATTGGTTGAGGTTTAAGTATAAGACAAATCAGTAAAATTACCCAAAAGTGCAGAAATGTCACTTTATGCCTGTTTGAAAGCTTGCAACACAAATATTGTATAACTTAGTTCAAAACATCATTCACAATACTTATTTATTTCCATATTTTGATAATCTGCCCACCTCTAAGAACTGGACAAATCTAATTACAAACAGCGACTCACAAGTACAATTACAACTTTTAAAACTGCTCCACAGCACAGTTTTTTTTTTACACAGTATTCACTTGCCTTGCACAGTGAGCGTTGCCGTGCCGAACATTTGAGGGCCTGCTGCCGGTATTACTGTAACTCTGTAAGTCCCGGCATCTTTTTGGACCACGTTCCTTAGCGCCAGAGATCCAGTAGCGATGAACAGAGTGATCCTGCCTTCATACTCTGGAGCAGTGAAGTTACCAGTATTGGAGGTGATAATATTTTTGGTGCCAATTTGCCATGTTATAGAAAGAAATGGAGTTTGTGTTGGAGCCAGTGATGTGGTGAACATGGCAGTGTCGCCCACAGCTGCATCCACAGAGTCAGGTAACAGAGCATCTCCTGATGCTAAACCTGGTATCAATATAATACAGTTAAAATAGTGCTGGTTTCATAATTGCAACCATAACAGAAATAGCTACATTAAAACGTGACTTAGTTTGTGTCAAATATGTAATGATAAATGAATTATTAAAATAGAATTCTTACCTAAAAAACCTCCAAGGATTATGACATGTATAATCCCCATTGTCTACAGTGTGTCTTGTTGGTTTGGTTGAATAGAGGAATTTGTGAGGTACAGAAAGCACAAGGGGAGCACTGTGAGGGGTTTTACAACTAACCCTCCCCTGTGTAATCCTGGCCCATGTGTACTTTAGTTAATTATTGTCAGTGTGGTCTGTAAATGACTGCATAAAACAAACATAATAATCTTCCATTTGTAACTGTGATAAAACCATTAGACCTAATGTGTTTTATTGATTAAAAAAAACAGTTAATATAATTTACTACACAATGAATGGAATTTTCTTGGGGAATCCTCTCTGTCTTCCATGTGTTTGAAGATGTTTGTGAATGTGAGTAGCTTGATTTCAAGTTCAGTAGCCCAGTTTAGTCGAGCTGCATATGTTCTCATAGGCCAGATGATATGTGGTCAAGTCTGAACATATCTGTACAGGCAATGAGTATGAGGCTTTGGGTTTCTCCGGGATTAATGTGTGTAAATATGTGAATGGTCTAGCCAAAGCATTTTATATATTTTCTTAAACAAAAAGCACATAACACTGATATTACTCTGTCAGGGATCTCCAATAAGATACAGTTTGACAGTTGGCCTACCCTCTATTCTCCTTAATATCATACAGCTACTTATACATCATACTACTTACTGCTGTATCTCTCCTTACCAGACAGATTAGGTCCCTTATTTATGCCTTATTTATCACTGATGCATACATTTTTATTTTATTTTTTTTTACTTTTTAGAGCAATGCATCCTGGGAGCTACAGAAATTGTTAGCTGAAGTTGCTGTTTTATAAAACTAATTCAAAATTGCCTAGCATTTACACCCATCTCATTGTTGTGAGTAGTAAACTGATTAGTGAATAGCAAGATAACTTCTTTTAAAAGGCTGGAGAAATTATGGTTCATTTTACCACCAAATCAAACATGTTTATTTTTGAATGTGTCCCGCAGTATTTTAATTACAATTGATTGATTGATTGATTCATTCATTTTTATTTCGAGTTTGTGCCAAGAGAGAAACAATAATCATATATACTACATACACATTGTAAACAACAGAAAAGCACATTTCTCGAAAAGGAAAATGGCAGAAAAGGTTTGTGTGATGTTTGGATTTTTATTATTACAAGTGTCTCTTATAAATATTAAAATCATTCTCATACACATTTTCTTCTTTACTGTTGGACTTGTGTGTATTTGAAGTATTCTCGTAGACATGCATCTCCTTCTGACCTGTATGTGGAGGTGTAATAACACTTAAATCATGTTTTTTTTATTTTTTATCAGAATATTTAATAAACTACAAGGATACTTACTGTTATTGCTTAACTTTCTGCCTTTTCTAAAATAAAATTCAAACATACCATTATCAGTTTACATTATATGAATATTATAAATAAAAGGCTAAAGATATGGTGCTTATAACTTACTGGTGTTTATACACATAAAACCCTCCCACTGCAGCTCCAGCAACAAACACTAATACTGCAACAATTATCCCAGCGATGGCTCCAGCTGAGAGACCCTCTGGAGGTGCTAAAGAAATACAATGAGATACAGTTAACCAGTGACCACAACACCACCTAGTGGCCTCATTCTGTTACTGCAGATTATGTAGATAGTGACTAGTGAATGTTGAATTATTCTGACCAGCACAGTCATGTGAACAGTCAACAAGGAAAACACCACAGATCCAGTGATGATTTGTGTTCATATGTTTTAAAGAGAACATATTATGCAGAATTTACTTTTATAAGCTTTTAACCATGTTATATTTTTTCAGCATTAATTTGCTCATAGTTGATCATAGATTGCATGTCTGAGGCATTGCTCCTGATTCTTGCTACGTTGAAATGCTACTGTGAGGAGGAGGGGGTCTCTCAGTTTTGAACAAGAAGTCAATGGATCTATTTCTATGATTTAACTGCTTTAGATCAATACGTGTATTTATGTTATAGTTTAATACAAAATAAATATCTTATAATGTCTGCTTTAAAGAATTTGTAGGGAGTCTGTTTGTCAAGTTGTGATTAAACATAAATCCACTTTTTACCAGTTACAAGCACTGTCTGTGATGCCTCAGATGTTTTCTTTGTGATTTCATTTGAAGCTCGACAGATGTACTTTCCCCTGTCTGAAGATCCAACCATAGGTTTAATATATTCAGATGAGTGAGTGAGAACAGTCCCACTTTTTATCCAGGTGTAGTTAGAGCAGTTGGTACAGAGTCACTCAAGCAGGTTAATTTTAATGTTTTCTTCAGATGAATCATTTTTGTACCTGAGATTCGAACATTTTCTGGCCCATCTGGAAAACAATGTTGAGATAGGAAGCAAATTTTTTACAGTAAAGGAATGAAACATGAAATGCCATTACACTTACAGATTACATCCAGAGTGTAAGCAGTTGTCTCAGAGCTGATGGGGTTGCTGATTTCACAGAGGTATCTTCCACTGTCTGTTTTGTTCAGGACTTTAAAGGACAAGACTCGTTTTTGGTCATAAAAAACAATGTTTTCAGAAGAATTTAGCTCCTGTCCATTTATTGACCACTTTCTGATGAAGATGGCACCAGAGGCATCACAGGTTAAGTTCAGTGAGGAGCCCTCGATTGGCTCATTGGATGATGACTCAACATAAATATTTGTGATTCTCTCTGTGGAAGGAAAATAAAACAAAATTTCCTCAGTTTTCCTCATTGGGCATTGATGTAAGTGCTGTCAAAGTCTGAGAGGAGTTACTGTAAATATGAGTAATTTAATGAGTTTATCTTGACTCATGCAAATTATGGCCACTTCCTCCTTTTGATGTTTTAAGAAAAGATCAGCAGGCCAATGTGATAGATAAAGACACATTTTATGGCCACTGTGGTGTCATGTAAAAATACATGAAGGTTAACAACAGCTGATAAGAGACAGGTCATAGCAGTCACCTGACACCTCTGACGAAGGGGGAAATGCTACCTCCCAAACCTGTCAGAGAAATACGATCTTTTTACAATTTGTCTTATTACAAGAAAACACTAAGTTTCTATATAAAAGACTAAAATCATTTTCTGAATGTAATATAAGGGTTCTTACTTCAGCACAGTGGTCCTTGCAGGCTGAGATGTTGTATATCTCAAAGTTTTGCTGTTGAAAGTACTGTAGTTTCCACTTGTACATATGATCCCTAGTCATAGCACCATAAAGTGAAGTGCACTCTGTCACTGGCTGCAGTGCATGATAATATAATCTATATATGAAAATAGAGAATGGCTGGTGTTTTGCTCAGTAACAGTAAAATCACTGCTTTTGACCAATAACAGTGGATTATGACAAAAATGAAATGCCAAAAGGGTGCCGTTATCCCCAAAGAAAGAAGACTCAAAAGTCTGACAAGTCTCTAAAAAATGACCTTTTACTGAGAAAAAATAATGTTATTTCTAAAAAAGATGAAAATAATGATGAATGACTGACTTCTTCTGAACATGTTCCAATAATGTTGATGTATACAGAAATTAATATGAGGCAGATGTGGATGCCCATAAAATGAATTGTAAATAATAATGCAAAATGTATAATTACCGTAAACGTTCAATGTAGTGTCTCCATTTTGTGCTGCGCCTCCTGCTGGGAAAATGTTAACAGTGTAATTTCCAGTGTCATTAAGAGTCACGTTCCTGAGCTCCAGAGATCCAGTAGAGATGAACACAGTGATCCTGCCTTCATACTCTGGATCTGTGAAGTTACCAGCAGAATTTGAAGTGATGATATTTTTAGTGCCAAAATTCCAGACTATTGATATAAATGGAGTTTGTGTTGGATCCAGTGATGTGTTGAACATGACTGTCCCTCCAACAGCTCCATTCACAGATTCAGGTAACACACCAGCTCCTGAGGTTATACCTGCAGAGTGGATAACACTGTTAATGAAAAACTGACAAGATTGTGTAATTTAGAAAAGTTGAATTTAGTTGTAATAATGTATTTTAACAGTTCTTACCAAATGTAGCACAAAGAATAATAATTTTGAAATACATATCTTCTGTAGGTTTTGTCTTCACTGCAACACTGTGGCGATATAAAGAAAGTATCAGGAAGTACTATCCTGTTTTGTCATTTGATTGTCAACTAGTCCTTGATTAATCATTACACACAGCTCCATATCCCATATCAAGCTATAAAACACACCTATTTTGTGCTAAGCTAGCTTCACTCAGTCATTATTAGAGTTTTTAAATACTGAAATACTCCCTACTGTAATTGTATTATTATGTTTTGGTACATTTTAAAACAGTCATATTTACTTACCACTTCACTCCAGCCCATTTTCCCTAAAACATCTGACTAAAATGACTCTCAGTTCAAACTAAATCTGTTTCTGAACCTTTTGGAGCACAAGCAAATGGCTGGACTCTGTGTGAAGCTGAGGCGCTGTAGTTGTGGCCTCAGGAGTCTGATCTTCTCTAGTTTTAAGTGGAAACAAGCTCTACACAGAGGAAAGTCAGATTTAAAATTCTGCCAGAATTTTTTGGGAGGTAAATATAAGAATAGGTATCCCTGGGGAAGATCTGAGAGACAGTACAGTGAGCATTTGTTTGGTCTTGACAATTCCCATGGCAAAGCTGAAGCTCATTGCACTAAACATGAGATTTAGGGACTTGTGATTGGGCAAGTTCAAGTAGAGTTAGTATAAAAATGCAAACTAGAGCTAGCAGATAATCAAGCTGTACATTAATTAAGATATTCATGTATTTTTGCTTTGATTTTGTCTGAATGATTCAACCATTGTCTCATAACGATTTGAAAACTGTAAGTTTGTGAATTGTCGATTAGCATTGTAGTCTGTAGGCACAGAGAGAGTACTTTGAATGCAAACAGTCCCAAATCATTTTGCTAAACATTTTTAATGTATTTAACATGAATTAACTGCTTAGAAATGTGGATTGTACATGATAAAAATCAGACTAAAAGTTAAATACATTTTTGGGTGTTACATTAATGTGAGTGATTTCATCTGCTGTGTTACAACAGCTGCACAAAGTGTTTCCACTATTTCATCAGTTTGATATCATTTAATGTCAGTATCAATAAATGTTACAGTTATAGAGCTTTATAATCAAGTATATTTTTCACAAACATCTCCAGAGACTTGTTTGATGATTCCAGCTATCTTTTTTTAAAATAGCACCGGTGCCAGGAAAGAGTCATGCTTAATCTACTTATCTGAAAAATAAATTTTATTTAATGACCAAAATAAATAAATAAATAAATAAATAAACCTTCAAAAGCGAACATGGCATCCCTATCAAATTTAGTCACATTATAAAATGCACTCGAACAGGTACTACTGTCTTCCTTTTTTTTTTTTTTTTTTACTGTGATTAGCAATATAATTGTTTATTGTCCCTTCCCTGCCATAGATATTGTGCTGTTAACATTGTGCTTAGAACACTCCTGCAGTTGCACTAATGAGGCAACACTTACCCCAACAGTAGATGGCACTAGATGAAAGGCCTTTCTTAAAATGTTTCTGAAGGAATAGAATGAAATACATAATTGAATTTTCCTGACTAGTATTGCTATGGAAACAGCTATTAAAAATAGAAGAAAGACAGAAATCCAGAAAAAATATTATAATATATATTTATTTTTACAAGTTACAAGCACTATATGTGATGCCTCAGATGTTTTCTTTGTTATTTCAATTGAAGCTTGACAGATTTACTGTCCACAGTCTGAAGATGGATTATCCAGGTGTAGTAGTAGTCGTTTATTTGATCATTTTGCACTACAAAACAATACAAAACATAGACTACAACCCCATGGATCATGACTGAAAGGGTTTAGGCTGAAGTAAAAAGTACTTATAATGGCTTAGCCTAGGGCTGGGCGTTATGGATCAAAAAATATATCTCGATATATTTTGCTATATCTCGATATACGATATATATCTCGATATATGTTCAAGAAAAAATAACCCCCTAAATCTGTAAACTGCAAAAACAAATCTGCCAAATTCCACAAGGTCCTTTTTTTTTAAATTGAAGTGTAAGAGGTCGACAGTTTAACATTTAAGAACATTTAAGATTACAAAAAACCCTAATTACATAAATAATAATTTAACTGTAAAATAAAAGAAATAATACATATTTTCTTCTTTTCATTCATAAATAAAACAACTCAACACAAGTTCATCTTTGCATTAACTCTGTTATCCAGACCATAATCATAACCATGAGCTCATTTAGCAGAAGCTCAGGATGTTCCTTATTTCAATAGATCCATGTTATTATCCAGCAGTGAGGAGCTCTGAGGTTTAATCTCACAATCCACTGCAGATCAAATCAAACGTTTCCAAACACTATTGTACAAGTGACACTGCAGCAGATTATTAATTTAAATATTCTGCATAAATAAACTTTACATTGCTAAACTTTACAATATATAAAGCATAACGACTCTAGAGCCACATCAGCCTGTTTGCGATAATAATGTGTTTAATGCAGTTTTGCGCACGTGTGTTTACATTTTACAGAAACGAAATTTAAGCACATGGCTCATTTGCATAAACAGCGCACTTCTCACGCAGCTCAGCTCGTTTAGCTTCTTTCTGGCTAAAGGACGCGACTCGGTGGAATATGAGGATGTGCTGCTGATGTTCTTGTCTGTAAATGGTGGAAAAGGTTCGTGGTGCTTGAAGTTTTTCACTGGCACCAACTTTCGGCGTTCACGGCGGTAGTGATGAGTGAAGGAGACACGAGCGAACAAAATCAGGGAGGCGGAGGCGACGAGAGAGAAGGTAAACAAGCGAAGCGGCGAAATCAGAATTGAATATAAGCATTATATCGATATATACGATATGTCAGAATTCATATCGAGTTTAAAAACTATCTCGATATATTTAAAATATCGATATATCGCCCACCCCTAGCTTAGCCTATTAAATAATGACAGAATTCCAAGAAATAAAGGCATTGTATGAACAGCAAGTCTGCATTTACAATTTCACTTATGACTTACTGTATATATAAAGAGACAAAATATAAATTAAAACAAACAAAATGTAATGCATAATTCATTTATTCCAGCTTTATACTTTTTTTTTTTTTCTCAAGCCTTCTGTTAGACTTTTTTAAATCATCACTCAGATTTTTCCTTATACTAACCCCTCTAACAGAAATATAATACCTTTTTTTCTTAGTTCTTAGCTTCATTTTATTTTCTCTCCGTTTATGGTTATATAAACCAACAGCAATATTAACAAAGGCACAAAAAGTGTAGTTAGCAGTTGGTACAGTGTCACCCAGACAGGTTCATTTTAGTGTTTTGTCCACTTGAATCTCTTTTGGACCTGAGATTTGAACATTTTATGGTCCATCTGAAAAATAATATTAAGTTAAAGGAAATGTTTTACAATAAATGAATTAAACAGAATGTGGCCCCAAACACTTACAGATTACATCCAGAGCATAAGCAGTTGTCTCAGTGCTGATGGGGTTGCTGATTTCACAGAGGTATTTTCCACTGTTTTTTCTGTTCAGGATTTTAAAAGACAAGACTCGTTTTTGGTCATAAAATACAATGTTTTCAGAAGGATTTAACTCCTGTCCATTTATTGACCATTTTCTAATGACGATGGCACCAGAGGCATCACAGGTTAAGTTCACTGAGGAGCCCTCGATTGGCTCATTGGAGGATGACTCGACATAAATATTTGTGATTCTGTCTTTGGAGACAAATAGAATAAATATCAAATCATTTGTTAAATTACTCAAATCATTTCTGACTAAATGGTATATGTTTTATTGAAGATTTTGAAAGGTTTATAGCATCATTGAATGAAAAGCATCATTTAATCACTGACATACTCAGCACAGAGATCCTCACAGGCTGAGACGTTGTATATCTGAGAGTTTTGTTTGTTGAAAGCCTGACAGCTGTAGTCTCCACTCTGGCTCATCTGTATGTTCTTCAGTTGTATCTGTGCTCCAGTAAAAGACAACAGCTCTCCATTTAAAAGCCATTTAAACTGAGCTGCAGGTCTGGAGTCAGCTGAGCAGGACAGAGACACGTCTGAACCTTCCTCATAGTGATCAAGAGAAGGAGAAGTCCTCAAAATGACATCATCTGGTCCATCTGAAAATATAAATATAAGTTACATAGTTAGACATGGGATTGTTTGTGCATTTTAACAGTAGACAGTTTTTACTCACAGTTGATGGAGAGTTCTGTTGGGACACTGGTGCTGCTACTGACAGGATTAGACACTTCACATGTGAATGGTCCCTGGTCATAGCGCCACACAGTGTCTATAGTGAGAGTTGCGCCTCGATCAGTGAGGTGCACTCTGTCACTGGCTGTAACTTCAGTGCTGCCGTTTAACCAGAGGAAAGTTGGCAGCCTGGTCCCATCAGCAGAACAGGAGAGACTCACAGAACTGCTGGACTCCACTAAGTCTGAGCTGCTGACTGTGACTCTCACATTAGATACTAGATCTGAGGGAGAAAAATTGCTATTTATTCATTTTAGCTGACGATATGGCAAAAAAGGGAAAACTATGTTTAGTCACTTACACTTCTGATTTACTTTTTTTTTTTTACACATAAAGTGGCTTTTAAATATTGATTTTGTGAATGTAAACAAAAAAAAGTTTCTAATCAGTGCAACAAATTATTTCAGCAGACACATTTATTTATTACCACTAATGTTTTATAGATTTGTTGGTGTTTCACTGACCATATACATTCAATGTAGTGAGCCCAATGACTGCTGCACCTTCTGCTGGTATCAGGGTAACACTGTACTCTCCAGTGTCACTAAGAGCCACGTTCCTGAGCTCCAGAGATCCAGTGGAGATGAACACAGTGATCCTGCCTTCATACTCTGGAGCAGTGAAGTTACCAGCAGAATTTGAAGTGATGATATTTTTTGTGCCAAACGACCATCCTATTGCTATAAATGGAGTTTGTGTTGGAGCCAGAGATGTGGGGAACATGACTGTGCCTCCAACAGCTGCATTCACAGAGTCAGGCAACACACCAGCTCCTGAGGCTAAACCTGCAGATTGGATAACACTGTTAATGAAAAATAACAACAAGAGTAGGATCATTTAGAAAAGTTAAATTTACTAGTAATAGTATTTAGTTCAGTAGTATTTTATTCTAACAGTTCTTACCAAATGTAGCAAAAAGAATAATCAATTTGAAACACATATCTTCAGTCGTTTTCACCTTCACCAGTACACAGTGGCAATATATATCAGGAAGTACTTTGTGTTTTGTTATTTGCTTGTTAATGCTTCCTTGATTAATCATTACACACTGCTCCATCTATTATCACACAGGTAAACTGGACTCAAATGCAAAATAAATCATACAGGCAAACAAAGTCGTAGTTCAATAACAGAAAGTGTCCTTTAACAGGTAATGTTTAATATGGCAAATCAGACTGAAAAACAACAAAGGAATATATGATTTTATAATGTGAACTAAATTATCCTCCTCCTTTCTACTCTAAGTAGAAAATGGGCTGGGAATTAACTCAGAAACAGGCACTACATCAGGGAATAATGCAGAATTGCAAACAGCAGATATCAGATACAGAGCTTAAGTGCCTCTCTTGACTGGTTAACAATCTAGGAAAGACTGAATGAACAGGGGGAGTATGTACAGACCATTGTTTCTCAAATATTGGATAAATTTGTTTTGAGTCGCCTTGTCACAAACTGCGTGTAGGTCTGCAATAAACAGTTCTACAGACTATTTTGTTCCAATATTGGTTCAATTGAATGTTGAAAAGAAAAAGAAATGGGCAACATTTAATGTCCAAATAGGTGATTTATGGATCCCTTTTATTGCTGCTTCAACGACGTTTTCATTGTTTAAAACTTGAGTAATACTAATTGTTCAGAGAGACATGATCACTCAGTCAACATTAAATATCCTCATTAATATTCAATAATGGTCAAACCCACCTTTATTTTGTGATTTACAAATAATGTCTATTGACTTGGGTCATGAAGGTTTGTGACTTTTAAAATATGGTTTCCCAGAAAAAAAGTTTGGAAAACCCTGATATAAACTACTCTGGGATGATTAGAGAATGAGAGGCAGCTGTAGGAAAAGGAGGGAGGTAGCAAAAGAAGGAACAGAACAAACGGAAAACGGAGCTGAACTGAGGAAAATGTGTAAACAAAAGGCAAAACTGTGGCACATATCTCATATCAAGCAGTTACCTGCAGTTTGCAGTTACCTGTTTTATGCTCAAGGCAAGTTTATCTGTCTAGCACAATTTGTACACAAAATATTTTTTTTTACGGAATAAGAAAGATATTAAAATTGCAGTACAAACAAATCAAAACATTAGACAAACTGATGCTGATTTCTCTGCCTTTGATAAGATGTGACATTTTAATGGAGCACCTTGCTACTTATTGAGGTTAACTTCCTGATCAGATTTTATTGTTCCTCTTAAACTTTTTAACTAACTGAGAACAACAAGTTTTAGTAAACAGACAATTATCTGAAAGTGTCTTCTTTAGCACTGGTGCTACTCAGGGTTGTGTCCTTTCTCTGATTCTTTCTGTAATGGACACAGACACTTGTAGGAGCAGCCAGCAGGGCAACTTTTCAGATGACACAGCACTACTGCAGGGCACAGACACAGGCCATAGTAGTGCCCTCTTTAGTTTTGTCTTTGTATTTTTATGTTATAATGTTATAATACAAACTCTAAGATGTGGGGTTTTACAGTTTTGTTCTATTGATCAAGGCTTATTTAATCCAAGTGCAGAGACATTGTATTTTACAGTATGTACATACATTCAGTTAAATGCACGAGTCTACACAAAACACAACCAGATAATTTATGTGATGCACCAACTGAAGTTTAAAAAGCTAAAGTTACAAGTCTCGATTGTATGGATTTAAATTATTCTCATATACATTTTCTTCATTGTTGTTAGAGTTGTCTGTATTTGAAGTATTCTCATAGACATGAATCTCCTTCAGACCTGTATCTGTAATAACATTTAAATAATGTTTTTTCTGAATATCTGATAAACTACAATAATACTTACTGTTATTACTTAACTCTGCCTTTTCTGAATAAATAAATAAATAAATAAATAATAATAATAATAATAATAATAAATCACACATAACATTGCCAATATACAGTAGGCCTACATTATAAATAACACTCAAAGATATGATGCTTATAACTTACTGGTGTTTATACACATAAATCCCTCCTTCAGTTCAGCATACAAATAATACCAGAGCTGAACCAGAAGTGAACTAGGACTAAAACAGGACTCACTGTCAGGATGGGCTCGAAGGTGACCGCAGGAGAAAGGAGCGGCTCTGCTCCACACCTCACGGAGGTAAGAGCGGCTGTCACCCGATCGCTCTTTATGGACCCTGCTGCTCGGGCTCGCGGCCCTGATTTCAGCAACTATTTGCAGGTACCCGAGCCGGTGCAAGAGTCTGTTACAGCGCGTAACTTCTACCTTCCTTCAGCGTGTCCAGAAGTCCAACTTTTTGTGTGATGGTTGCATCTTCCTCTGCCTTTTAGGTGCGAGTGCAGGAGCCTTTGTCGGTGCAGAACGTTTCGTCGACGTTGTGGGTTTCGTCGGGGAGAAAACTTGCAACCGTACAACACTTCAGAATCACACTGCTACAGATTGAACATGTATTTAAATTTGGCAGCTGAACACATTCTGTACTGTACAGGAGACAGGAGTCCCTTGGCCAGTCAGGACGCAGCGGGAGGAACGCAATACGCATTCATACAATGTAAAAAAAAACAGGGCATGCAAAATTGCACAAAAAAATAAATAAATAAATAAATCTGCGAGACAGTGAAAAGTGAACTGCGATAGAGGGAGGGACGAGTGTAAACCAGGTCTAAACCAGAACTGACCCAGGTTCAATCCAGGTTAAAAAACACTGTAACGCGCGTTACTCACATTTGTACCGAGTAAAATATTACTATTTTTTCCCCTGTAATGCCTTACATTACTGCGTTACAGCAAAAAGTAATGCATTACTGTAATTCGTTACTTTTATAACGCGTTACTCCCAACACTGGTGCTGCTACTGACAGGATTAGACACTTCACATGTGAATGGTCCCTGGTCATAGCGCCACACAGTGTCTATAGTGAGAGTTGCTCCTCCATCAGTGAGGTGCACTCTGTCACTGGCTGTAACTTCAGTGCTGCCGTTTAACCAGAGGAAAGTTGTCAGGCTGGTCCCATCAGGGAGGGAGGACAGCACATGTTAATCTATATGAAAATAGAGCATGGTGGCTGTTTTGCTCAATAACAGGAAAAAAAATCATAATTTTAACAGATAACATATGATTATGATAAAAAATGAAATGCTATGAGGGTGCTTTTATCCCCAAGGAAAAAAGGCTCAAAAAGTGTCAAAACCCCAGCCCTTTTCACTGAGTGAAAAAAAAGTTAATTATAGAAAAGATTAAAATAATGATGAATCATTGACTTCTGAATTTTCCAGTAATGTTAATGTAATATGAGGCCAATGTGGAAGTAACATACATATAAGCCCATAAAATAAATAGTGAATAATGCTAATGTATAATTACCATAAATGCTCATTGTAGTGACCCCATTTCATCCTGCACCTTCTGCTGGTAAAATGCTAGCACTAAGGTTGGTGGTTCGATTCCTGCTCTTGACATAAATATCACTGGCTGAGTGGTCAGATCCACTGACCCACAGGTGAATGCTGTTCTTGTGTTCTTGGACAAGACATTTAGCCCACCTCAACCCCAGTGTCTGCATACAGTGGTGTATGAAATATGTGTGAATGGGTGAATGGTTCCTTGTTGTAAAGAGCTTTGAGTGCCTTGAAGGTGGAAAAGCGCTATATAAAAATGTGACAATTTATGAAGAGCCATGTTCCTGAGATCCAGAGATCCAGTAGAGATTAACAGAGTGGTCCTATCTACATACTCTGGTGAAGTAAAGTTACTACAAGGGTGTAAAGGGAAAATTGTACTAACTACCAATCTATTGATATAAATGGAGTTTGAGATGGAGTCAGTGATGTGGGGAACATGACTGTGCCTCCAACAGCTGCATTCACAGAGTCAGGCAACACACCAGCTCCTGAGGCTAAACATGGATCACATATTGCTCATGAAAAATAAAAGTATAATAAAAAAGGATTCTTCACATAACTTTTATATGAATTAGTATTAAAATACTATAGTTCTTACCAAAGAACAGAAACTTGGAAACTCATGTTTTTTGTTGTTTTGAGGTCAGACAGTCACGGGCCAAATGAAACACACATAAAGACGTACTGCAGTGGTTTGTTGTTCCCTGTATCTACTTTGATTAATTATTTTCCTGACAATTTTATTTTGTCCTCTTTGTTGTAAAGAGTAACTGTCCACATTATAAACACAAAACTCAAAACTCTCTTTTATATCTAATTTTTTAGCCCCTGGCCTTAATGTAAAGGCAAAACTGACTCCTGTGAACTTTAAGTCATGCATACCTGGAACATACCTGGAATTGTTTTATGTCATTCACACATGCTTGCGTAATCCTGGATTATTAGTCTGTCACTTTCCAAAACTCAAAATACTCCACTTATTGATGTCATTTAGTGATAGTTTTCAAGTTAACAGCTATTTGTAAAAAAAATCTAAGAAAATATAATCATTTTAATCATATGCATTAACTACACTATTAAAGAAATGAACAACAACATGTTTATGTTAATATGAATATGTTATTTATTTTTTTTATTTATAATGAATTAAAGATTTCGGTCATATATTGTTGAGGGATTTTCATAGACATTTTGGTTGCCTTCGTCAGTGTAAATGTTGCTTATTCTTGAAGAGTTTGGTTGTGTTTGTCTCTCTACTGAACCTGTGCAACAGTGGAAAATTATAGCACTGTAAACGACTGCTCTTCTTTCTAACTCTGAATTATTAATACTTACCACGTTTCTTTTGCCTACCGGTGCTAAAAAGGAAATGCAATAGTGTCAGTAATTTTTCCTTAAAAATTTAAATTCATTTGTTCATGACTTACTGATTTTTATAAATAAAGATCGCCGCGACCACAGCTCCCACAGAAACTGCTACACATGCTATAGTTATTCCAGCAATGGCTCCAGCCGAGAGAACGGTCTTAGGTCCTTTAATGAAGAAATGGAAACATTAAACTTTGCTTTTTTAATTGGAACTTA